TAAACAACAAACGATCTGATGCGAATTAACTGAAACAAGAAACTAAAGACATGAGATGCCCGTAAATGGTAAATATTATTGTGTTAATCACTAACAAAACAATAATACATTAATTCAATTGTTGATATTATTTTTTCTAACTAGAAAAGTTGTCAATGGAAGTTTTTGTAAATGGTCCATTAATGCAAAAGAAACAAAAAAAAAATGCCCCTTTTTTTTTAATTTAATTGTTGTAAAATCGTTACATTTTATATGAATGATATATAATCATATTTTATTAAGTATTCGATCATATATAAGATATTACAAAAATCTGTTAATTATAGTTCACACTAAATAATATATGGAAGTTAGATGAGTATATAAAAAAAAGTATATATATTTTAGATTTTGTTCTTCAAGTTATTATTCTAAATTCAATTTTTATTGTACACTCCAAAAAAAAAAATGATGAAATTCCAATGAAAAATTTTAATAAAAATATATTTAAAAGGATTCCATCGAAAAATTTTAATGGAAATGTATTTTAATGGACTCCAACGGAAATTTCCACAAAAATATTCCCTTGGAATGAGTTTTTCATTGGGATTTCTGTTGGATTTCGACGATTCCAACGATAGATTTTCCAAACGGGGTGGAAATAAAAATTACAGCAGAAATTGCATACTCCAACATAACGGAAATTCCTCTAGTAAAAATCCATTGGAAAAATAGTCATTGGAATCATCAAATTACATCTAGAATTCCAATAGAAAACCCATTCCAACGGAATGTTTTTGTTGGAATTACTGTTGGAATCATTCCAACGGAAATTGTACTATTAGAATATCCGTTGAAATTTTCATGGCAATATATTACCCTAAAATTTACCGTTAGCAATATACAATTTTTTCGCAGTGGCATATCATAAGCCATTTTTTTCGCAGTGGCATATCATAAGCCATTTTTCCGTAGGGATTTATAACCGTTAAATTATCATATAACCGTCGGAAATAGTTATTTAACGATTACGAAACCTGACGGAATAATTTTGTAACAGGACCGTAGCATTTCCTATTAATATTATATATATATAAAAAAAAAAGTTATTTATATCTCTGCACTACTATGTATTATTGTTAGTACTACTAGTTAAAGACAGACAGTTAAGGAGTCCTTAAAAGACAATGACATTTTGCAGTTGCACACAACTAAAGATGAGTAGTTGCCACAATGGAAAGGGCAATGAATTTAATGAAACTCATCACCCATGTGATTTGTGTAGGCGCGTCCGTATCATATGTATGCATAAGACTAAGAGTGGCTTCAAGATGCACACTGTACACAACTTACACTGATAGAGTTTTGCAAGTTTAATAATAATTTGCCAAGAATGGAGGGGCACATTTATAATTTGGATATAGAGATGGGTGTTTTGAGGCATACATTTAATTCTGGGAAAACAAAGGATGTATCATGGAGGAAGACACAGCTCAAGAATCTGCTGTCTCTGCTTGCCGAGAACGAGGCCGAGATTTACTCTGCACTAACACAAGACTTGGGAAAACACCCAGTTGAATCATTTAGAGATGAGGTGCGTCTTAATTACTATTGCAGAATATTTGAACAACTTAGCAATTACAAATAAAAAAAGAAGGAGATTCTACGGTCTCGTTACAGAACCATTCTGTCGGGGGTTGTAACCGTTAGATCAACTATCCACGACGGTTACATGATGATTTGACGGTTACAAATTCCGACAGAGCTGGACTGTAGCATTTCCTTAGAAAAGAACTCGAATCATATATAAGGCCTCACGTGTAAAAGAAGACAGTAAAATGAATGAAAGTCCTAAATATATGGCTGCTTAAATTACATTGAGTCCACAACAGTCGATTGCTAGTGACTTTTGTGTTACGTAACATCATTGATCCGTCGACCTGGGCCGGGGCCCTTGATGAATTTCATGGGTAATGTGTGTGTCTTGTGCAGGTTGGGCCCTTGATGAAGTCGGTAAATTATGCCTTGGATGGCCTGAAGAAATGGATGTCCGGCAAAAAGGTAAATTGTAAATGTTTCTCTTTCGAGTCATGCATATGGAACCCCCACATTTGTGTGTGTGTGTCTGTGTGTGTGTGTGTGTTTGTTTGTATTAAAAAGACATAGACATGATCGGTTAATGAAAGTCGATCGCAGGCCGATTTACCTCTCGCTGCATTCCCTACAAGCGCGCATTTAGTCCCCGAGCCACTCGGGGTGGTCCTCATCATATCACCATGGAATTTCCCTTTCGGTACAAACTTCAAACTTTTGATCTTCACAAAGTGACTATGTAATAACATATTTTACCACAACTTGACATATAGTCCTTTACGCTTACTCTGTTTTTCATTTTTCTCTTCTTTTTTGGGTGTCAAACTTAGGACTTGCATTGGAAGCGCTCGTAGGAGCAATTGCAGCTGGGAATGTCGTTGTCCTAAAACCGTCGGAACTTGCGCCAGCGTCATCTTCTACAATAGCCAAATTAGTGCACTCTTATTTGGACACTAAGGCCATCAAAGTCTTCGAAGGGGGCGCCTCGGTGGGAGAGCAGCTATTGCAGCACAAA